TGCCTAGGCAGGGGTTTGGAATAGAAGACCTCCAAGGTCCCTTCCAACTCTGCTATTGTATTATAACAAATAAAAGTTATAATTGCTGTCATTCCAGCTCCGTGGCCACCATTCCAATTTCTGCTTTACACAGCCAGGCTGAATGAATGTCAGCCTGAATGACCCAGGTATGACTTCAGAGTGGGTACTCCTTCCACTGCACTAGGTCAGGGGTCAGAAACCTTAAACACTCAAAGAGCCACAAAGGTCCTAACCGGAAGCCCAGTCCCCTCCACCACCACCATAGAGTCTCCTCCTAGCTCTGCATCCTTTTTCCTCTACCTGTCCTAACCGAAAGCCCTATCAATTGTGGAGCCGACTGGCGACAGGGAGCCGCAGCAGAGGGATGAAAGAGCCACATGCGGCTCCAGAGCCACATGCGGCTCCAGAGCCACACGGGTTGCTGATCTCTGGTTTGGAAGGTGAACTTCCCTCTCTCCCTTTGCATTAATTTAAATCCTGAGACGGCTTCGATTGGACTTTGGACCCTTAGTTGTATGGCCTTTCACCAGAACACGCAAAGTCTGTTCCTCTTCCCTCTTGCAAATGTTAAAAGAAATGGAATTGATTTGGCTTGGAAACTATCTTCCGGCTGGCTTGTTTGCCTTGCAGTTCTGGGTTGCTTCTGGTGGCTGCCAAACATTTGCCTTCTCCCCCCCAGCCCCAAGATGCTGTTGGGACTGCATTCCCCCCCCCCCGCCCCGGTGTATTCCATCAGTGTGGAATAACTGCTCAAAGCTGGGAAACTCTTAAAAACAGCCTCATGTGAGTCGGCAGTGCTAACCTCATCAGGGTCTACAGTCGTAACAACCATTTCCTTCTACTCGGATAACGGTCATAAGAACCATTTCCTTCTAACCAGGGAAACAACAGTCATAAAAACAATTTCCTCCCTTCATCCAGGAGCCCCCTAAAGGGAACAGGAGAGCATCCCATCATCCTCATTTGGATAAAAACCCCAAACCCCTCCCCGTTTAAATCCCCTGAGCTCTTGTTCGTCCCAGTTACAGGATTCCCCCTCTCCATCCCTTGTTCTATTCTTTCTAGTACAGGGGTCAGCAATCCATGGCTCTGGAGCCGCATGTGGCTCTTTCATCCCTCTGCTGCGGCTCCCCGTAGCTCAAAATATGCGTCACAACCAATATGCGACACCCGAACAGCACACGATTTATTGAGCTTTTCAACACACACACACCCTGGTCGGCCAACCATGGTTAAATCCAAGAAAAGTTTCAGAACAGGAACGTTAATTCAAACACATATCCTAGTTTTGTGGGTGCTCAGGAAATAGTCAAGCATGGGAAGGGCGTTGTGGCTCCCGGTGTTTTCTTTTCGGTGGGAAATGGGTCCAAATGGCTCTTTTGCGTGTTTAAGGTTACCGACACCCGTTCTCGAAGAAAGAACCACCATAGTACAAGAGAAGCGAGCACTCCGCAAAGCTAGAGCTACAAATGCTGCAGCAATGGTGCCCACACACATCTGCCCGACATGCGGCAGAACATTTCATGCCCGTACAGGCCTCGCCAGCCACCGGCAGACACATCGTGGACAGCCCACGGCCTGTTAGATGCCAAGGCCCTCTTCAAACACGATGGACAGAAATCGCATGCTTGCAAACTGGATCCAAATATCATTTCAACTTGGCCCCAAATTGATTTGACTGCCGCTTTTGCCTTGATCAATTCTTCTACTCAAGTAGCATCCTAAAAGCGCAGCCTGCCTATCTCATCCAGGTACCTTCCAGAATTACCAGGCGAAGAAACCTCACAACCTGGTTGACTAAGGATGACGGAAGGGCAAAATCCGGATCATCTCACCAGGTATCGCTGAATCACAAATACAAACAGTGAATCTGAGGAGGTCACCAGGGAGCTGGGCTAGACTCTAGGAAGCAGAGGCACGAATCAAACAATCCCAAAGGGGAAAAAAAGAAACACACTATTTTCCTTAGATGCAAACACACCATAAAATTTAAAAAAAATGTATTCATTCTCTTCCCTAGCACAAAAAGCCTACCAGTTTAATTTCCAATAACAAGATTTTTGGATTGTTAGTGTGGGGAAGTTTTCGTCAAAAGAAAAGGGCGTTATTTAATTCCACAAGATCCTTTTCCTTGTGAGAAATGGAGAATTCCTTATAGAAGAGGGCCTCTTGTATTTTGCAAGGAAAGAATTTGGGATTACCCCATCCCGCTGGTAGGCCTAGTTAATCTGAGACACCCAGCAGAAAAAGTTATCTTCCTCCCTGCTTCTCGTTTCTGTAGTTCTCTGCCTCTGGTCTGCTGTAAACAAGGAAGTCATGACAGTCTCCTAACAGAATACCAGCAGTGGAAGGAACCTTGAAGGTCTCCTAGTCCAGAGGTCGCCAACCTTAAACACTCAAAGAGCCACAAAGGTCCTAACCAGAAGCCCCCACCCCCACCCCCGGTTCAATTCTGAAGCTGAACAGAAGTCTGGTTCCCCCACCAGAGTCTCTTCCTAGCGTGGCATCCTCTTTCCTCTCCTAACTGAAAGCCCTATCAATTGTGGAGCCGACTGGTGACAGGGAGCCGCAGCAGAGGGATGAAAGAGCCACATGCGGCTCCAGAGCCGCAGGTGGCTGATCTCTTTTCTAGTCCAATCCCCTGCTCAAGCAAGAGACCCTCTATACCGGTGATGGCAAATCTTTTTGTAAAGACGTGCCAAAATTGTGGGGGCGTGTGCTATCGTGCAGGTATGCGTGCTCACACCCACAATCTAATGTGCTCCATCCACCTGCGCATGCGACCCCCCACCTTGCACAGGGAGGGAGTTTTTGCTCCCCCAGGCTCCGGAGGCTTTCCTGAAGCCTGGAGAGGTCGGAAACAGCCTCCCCCACAGCCCTCCAGAGGGCCGAAAATCAGCTGGCTGGTATGTACATGCACGCCAGAAGTGCCAGCTCGTGTGCCAGCAAAGATGGCCCCACGTGCCACCTGTGGCAGGTGTGCCATGGGTTCACCATCACGGCTCTATACCATTTCAGACAAATTGCTGTCCAATCTCTTCTTTAAAAAGCTCCAGTGTTGGGAGCACCCACAACTTCTGGAGGCAAGTTGTGATTAATTGTTCTAACTGTCAGGAAATTTCTCCTGAATTCTAACCTTTGCTTTCCCAGAAACAGAACCGGTCTGTTACAGTGAGCAAAGGCTCAAAAGGACAGGCACTGGGGACAAACAAGATGGTGCCATGCCCTATGTGGCAGTCGGGCTGGAATGGTGACCCAGATGGAGGAGGAAAGCATTTCCTTTGTTGATCACCGGTTGAACAAGGTCAGACCAAAAATTTATGCGCACCTATTAACTGGGACAATCCACACATTTCGGAATCGGCCTTAAGACTCGGTTGAAGCTTTATACCAAGTCAATGTTGCCTGAAAATCAGGTATATTTTACTACATCCTAAGCCAGGGGTCGGCAAACGTAAACACTCAGCCATTTAGACCCGTTTCCCACAGAAAACACCGGGAGCCACAATAACCGGAAGCCCCCTGTTCAATTCTGGAGCTGACCGGAAGTTCAGTTCCCCCACCACAGAGTCTCCTCCTAGCGCGGTGTACTTTTTCCTCTACCTGTCATAACCAAAAGCCCTACCAATTGTGGAGACAACCGGAAAACCCTCCCCTTGCCATAGAGTCTTCTCCTGGCGCACTCTGCTTCTCTCCCCCCCCCCCCCCCGGAAGCTCCTCTCAAAATTGTGGCGCCGACCGGTGACGGAACTGCAGCAGAGGGAGGAAAGAGCCACATGCTGCTCCAGAGCCGCAGTTTGCTGACCCCTGTCATAAGCAAACTAAGATTCTTTCCCGGTGGCCGAAGGCATCTGGGGATCCGGATAGTGAGAAATAAGCTTTGGCTCAAGCCAAACAACTTACAGGTTTTTGAGTATGCTCCATTTGGGGAGTTCTCTTGTTTTCTTTCTGGATGGGGCAGAATTCCCACGATCGGAAACCGAGATGCAATTTAGGAAAACTTCCATTTTGGGCTTCCGCTGAAGGGCTAGAGCTGTGATGGCAAACCTATGGCACACATGCCAGAGGCAGTACACAGAGCCCTCTCGGTGAGCATGTGCGCCATTGCCAGTTGCTCTTCTGGTTTCCAGCATGCCGACCACCTGGTCTTTGCGGGCACCAGAAAACCGCCCGAAAAAATGGTTTAAAAACAGGCCGTTTCCCAGGCCATTTTGAGGGCACTTTCGGGCTGTTTTTTTGTGCCAAAAATGGCCTGAAAGTGGCCCCAAAATGGCCTGAAAAACTGCCAAAAAAACAGGCATGTGCACACCGGCCAGTTGGTCTTTGGGTTTTCGGCACTCCATGCGTGTGCATGGTCGTTCTGGTTTGGAGACTTGATGCCAAAAAGGTTCACCATCGCTGGGCGGTCACCAACTGGTGGCCCGTGAGAAAATGTTGGGAGAAAATACAATTCCAGCGGAACAAATTTATATAGATGACGATGGAAGATTCGTGATGGTGGAAATTATGGTAATAATAAGAAAATATTTTTAATAGCAATTTATGCTCCTAATGACAATCAAGATGAATTCTATAGGAAATTACACATGAAAATAATTGTATTGTATTGTATTTGTATTTAACATATTTATAGGCCGCCCAATCCCGGAATTGAATTGGACTATGCTAATATTTGTATGATGGGAGATTTTAATGGAATTGTAGATCAGAACATGGACTATAAAACACAAAAAACAACAAAACTACATAGAAAGACTCTTCCAAAATCCTTTTTTAAAAACGACTGATGAAATAGACTTAAAAGATGTATGGGGAGAAAGAAATCCCACAAATAGACAATATACCTTTTACTCAAATAGACATTTATCATGGTCCAGATTAGATATGATATGGATTTCAACAGATTTGATCAGTAACATACAGGAAATTGACATAGAAACAAGTACTTGGACGGACCACAACCCACAATCTTAAGGCCTGCTTTTAAGATCACTCACGTCCTGGTCGCGTGTCATTTGAACTGCAATGTGCATTTGCGTGGGAAGGCCCTCGAAATCCAGGAGTCAGAAGCCGCTGCAACACAACTAATTAGAGGTGCACCTTAACACCTGCGCACCGTGAGCTCCACAGGACTCCCTAACAATTTCCAAGTTGAATTCAAGATTTGAGACTTAATAAAGCCTCATCATGGCACAATTCCCCTCTCCATTGCCCTCAGCTCATCCTGGGAGCTCCAGCTTTGGGTTGAAACGAGAGCTCATCTGCCAGGACCCCAAAAAAGGATCACCTGGATCCCTCTATAACCTCTACAGAATGAAAAGGCTATTTGTGAATGGATTGTACAATAGGTGACCTCAGCCGCCCCCCCCCCCTTTATGTTGTTCCTCTGCTATTCTTGTGGTTCCAGGTGTTGCTGCGTTTTGTTTTGAATTCTTTGGGGTTTTGTATGTTTCCACTCCACCGCAAGCCGCCCAAAGTTATACTGTGCGAGTCGGGAAGTCGAATAAATCAATTAAAGAGATCGTTCAGCGAATAAGCCACAATACAATAGTAGAATTGGAAGGGACCTTGGAGGTCTTCTAGTTCAACCCCCTGCCTAGGCAGGAAACCCTATACCGTTTCAGACAAATGGCTATCCAACCTCTTCTTAAAAACTTCCAGTGTTGGGGCATTCACAACTTCTGGAGGCAAATTGTTCCACTGATTAATTGTTTCAACTATAATGAAATTTCTCCTCAGTTCTAAGTTGCTTCTCTTCTAATTAGTTTCCACCCATTGCTTCTTCTCCAGCCTTCAGGTGCTTTGTAAAATATGGTACGCTCTTCTGTGTGGCAGCCCCTCAAATACTGGAAGACTGCTATCATGTTTCCCCCCGCCCCCCGGTCCTTCTCTTCACCAGACTAGACAGCCCCAATTCCAGCAACCTT